TTAATGCGATACTTAGTTGTAAATGGAAGCTCAGTTCCCATGTCAGTACTCATTCCCTGCTGAAAGACTTCCTAACAAAACTCCCCTTTCATATTTTAACCCAGCCTGAGTCCCCATTGTCACCTCCTTCTGCTCAATGCCACATTGTTATTGCCAGAGGGCTTGAAAGCACAGCTGCCATAGATAGCAGAGCATGGATGGGATGGATTAATTTATCTTAGAACATCTTTCGCTTGAAGGCCACGCAAGTCTCTTTACAATTCGCTTGATTAACTTTGTCTTTAATTACTAAATTTTTTAAATTGGGTTTAAGAAGATGAGTGCCTATAAAAGCAAGTAAGCATTCATTTCTCTTTCTTCCAGCTCCCACTAGGTAAATACGTTGAACTGCGTGAAAAAGATTACCCTGGATTTGGAGGGACCTATGTCTCTACAGATTGTTACCAATCCAGGACTTGTAGGGTTTCTGTGGCAAGTAACGAGTCAATGTAGAGAGCTGGCATGTGCAGTAGGCTCCCCATAAATAGTGGTCCCATTTTCCTGGCATTGCCAGGTTTAGCAGAATAAATTTAAAAACTACAGCCAGATGATAGTTATTCAAGCCATAATCCTAGCTACTCAGGAGGCAGAAATCAGGAGGATCATGGTTCAAAGCCATTTTTTGAGATAGCGAGACCTATTTCAAAAAATCCACCACAAAAAAAGGGCTGGTGGAGTGGCTTAAGGTGTAGACCCTAAGTTCAAACTCCAGGACTGCAAAAATAAATAAATAATTAAATAGAATAACAAAAGAATAAAAACTATACTCTGTCCAGACAACTTTTCACTTTGGATGAACAATGAAAAAAATTTTAGTGTAAGTATGCCCCTCTCAAAATTTCCAGCTCCCATTCTCTCTCTCCCTCCCTCTCACCCCACCCCTGTGGTCCTGGGAATAAATCTAGGTTCTGTGTACAAGTGCTCTCCACTGGAGCATGAGCCTAGCCCTTTTCTTTGTATTTTGTTTTTGAAATAGGTGGCACTAACATTGCTTGGACTGGCCTTGAACTCATGATCCTCCTGCCCCTGACTCTCAAGCAGCTGGGATTACAGCAATGTACCACTACACCTGCCTCTGGTCTCCTTTTCTTAGAATTGAATTTTGCTCTTTATTTCTGTCTAACAAATTTGGTTAACAGAATTGTGTAGACCAAAATATGCACAGAGCTCAAAAACTAAATTCCCCAAAAATCAATGCCTCAATGAAGAAATGGGCAAATGAACTGAACAAAGCTTTTTCAAGGAAAGAAGTCCAAAAGGCCAAAAAAACACATGAAGGAATGCTCAATATCCCTGGCCATAACAGAAATGCAAATCAAAACCACATTAAGATTTACCTCACTCCTGTTAGAATGGCTATCATCAAAAACACAAACAGCAACAAATGTTGTCGAGGACGTGGGGAAAAGGAACCCACATCCACTGCTGGTGGGAGTGTAAATTAATACAACCACTATGGAAAGCCGTATGGAGGCTCCTCAAAACACTAAACATAGATCTACCATATGATCCAGCAATTCCACTCCTAGGGATATTCCTGAAGGAATGTGAGTCAGGTTACAACAAAGGCACCTGCACACCCACATTTGCTGCAGCATTGTTCACAATAGCTAAGCTATGGAGACAGCCAAGATTCCCCACTGCTGATGAATGGATTAAGAAAGTGTGGTATTTATACAAAATGGAGTTTTTATTCAGCCATGAAGAAGAATGAAATTTTGGCATTTGCAGGTAAATGGATGGAACAGAAGAACATCATCTTAAGTAAAGTTAGCCAGGCTCAGAAGGGCTGCATGTTCTCCTCATATGTGGATTTTAGACCCAATACAAATACAGCTATATTATGAAAAACAGGTCACACTAAGGGGAGGTCACCTATAAGAGAGGGAGGGTAAAAGAAGGACATTAAGAAGATGAATATGGTTGATGTATTTCCTACATAAGAATTAATATAGAATTTTTAATCCTGTTGAAATCACCATAAGAAGGAGACTAAGGTAGAAAGGAGAAAAACAGAGGAAATGAACCAATTTGGGTTATAATACATATATACATGGAAATGTCACAAGGAAACTCCCTGCATATCTATCTTTAAACAAACAATTTTTTTTTTTTTTTTTACAAAAATGGAGAACAAGAAGGCAAAACAGGTCCCTTCTGGAGGGTTTGGTACCAGCAGGAAGTGGGGAGACATAGGAAAGGGTGTAGGAGGGTGAATATGGTGGAGATATTATGTTCTTATGCATGAAAATGGAAAGTGAGACCTGTTGAAACTATTCCAGGAATGGGGGGAGGGGGTAAATTTAACTATGATATATTATAAGAACCTTTGTAAATGTCACAGTGTACCCCCAGTGCAGCAATTAAAAAATAAATATATAAATTTTAAAAAGAATTGTTTAGGAGTGTTTAGGGAAAGTTTCCTATTTTCACACATTGTAAGAATTTCCTCTAGGAGTAAATGGTATTCAATGCATGCTTATTAACTGAATGAATGAATGACCAAATGCCCAGACAAAACAGATAGTTCTAATTTGCATGAGTTGAGAAATGGGTAGGTAGTGTGATTTCAGCAAACATGATCAGTTTCTGTTAGGTGATTCTAGAAAAGAAAGACCCAATAAAGAGGGATGTAGCAGGCTGATAATGACACTCCCCACCCTGGTGACTTAATTTCAGGACCTGTGAATATGTGACTTCTGATGGCAGAAGGGACTTTGTTGATGTGGTTAGGTAAGGATCTTCAGAGGTGCAGACTATCCTGAATTATCCAGGTGGTCCTAATGTAAGGTCCTTCCAGGAGGAAGGAAGGAGGCTCAGCCAGAGAGGTCTAGCTGACAAAGGAAATGCAGAAAGAGACATTGCAAGATGCAGTGCTGCTGACCTTGACCGTAAAAGAGACGGCCAAGAGTCTAGAAGCTGGAAAAGGCCAGGAAATGGCTTCTTCTCTTGGAATTCCAGAGAAATGTTGACTCTGAGGGTCCACTTTGGAGTTCTAAAACCCTAAGACAACAATTTGTTATAGCCACAATCAGAAAATAATACAAAGGAGAAGGTAAGTAATAAACAAAGAAAAAGAAGATTGCTGGGCACTGGGGCTCACACCAGGGGGATCATGGTTCAAAGCCAGCCTGGCAAATAGTTCACTAGACCCTATGTGGAAAATACCCAACACAAAACAGGGCTGGTGGAGTGGCTCAAGTGGTAGAGTGCCTGCAACCACTTTGTTCAAACCCCAGTACTGTCGAAAAACAAAACAAAACAAAAAAACCACCAAAAACCAAAAAGAAGTTTACCTAGCTGAGAAAAGGCTGCCTGCCGCAGAGAAAAGTCTAGAAATTGCTGAACAGGCCCGTAGATAGGTCAAAGAACACAGACGCTGGCAGATTCCCAAGAACCAAGAGAAAGAGGACATTGTTAGTTAAAATACTGCAGACAAAGGGCTTAAGCAGTAGAAATTAATTTTCTCATTGTACTGAAGGTTAGAAGTTCAAGATCAAGGTTGGTTTCATTCTGAGGCTCTTTCCTTGGCTTGAGAGTGCCGCCTTCTCACTGTCACCTCACACATGGTCTCTCATCTGCATAAAGAGGTATCATTGACAAAACTTCCTCTTCTTATAAGGACACTAAACAGATTGTATCATTATGTCAGCCCACCCTAACAACCTCATTTTTACTTAATCACCCCATCTCCAAATGCAGACACACTCTGAAGTACTGGAAGTTAGGGCCTCAACATAAGAATTTGTGTGTGTGGGAACAATTCAGCCCACAATAATGGGGTTCATAAATTGAGAAAGTCTGCAAAAAAGCTGGTCTGCGACCCAGATTGGAGATGTAAGCAATACAACAATGCAATGTAATGCAAAGCCATTCAGGATTAGATATCAGACAGGAGAAAGGGACTTTCTGGCAGTCATTTGAATAAGATTGGTTTGTAGATTGGGTAATTGTATTACATAATAGCTAATTTCCTTGTTTTGTACTATGGTTATGCACGATGCCAACATTTGGGGAAGCTTATATGAAGAGTAAACGGGAGCTCTTTGTACATTTTTGGAACTGTTGTTTTTCTATCTGGAATTATTTCAAAATTAAAAGTTAAAAATAAAAAATACAATATGGTGAACACAGAAAAGGAGAGAAAAGGAGGTTGGATGTCACTATGAAAGGTGGGGGGAGGGGAAGGCAGGAAAAGTAGCAAATGAGTTCCATAAAGTCAGAGATCCCGCCTGCTTTCCAAGTGCCCTCTGACCTCTCCTTCTGGGACTTGACAGTGCCCAGGAGCTGAGCACATGGTTTGGGAGGCAGTGGTCATTGAGCCATAAGCTGAAGGAGAGAAGGCCGTAGGCACATTGATTCTCATCTGATTCATGGCAGTCCTCAACTTTTGACTTTTGACATTCTCCAATGAAGTATTACAATCAGACAGTGTATGTTGAAATTGTGGCTTTTTTTTTTTTTTTTCCCGGTACTGAGGTTTGAACTCGGGGGCTAGGCGGGCGCTCTGCCACTCTGCCAGTCTGAAAGCATGACTTCTTTACGTGCAAACATTTAAAATACATGTCAAAGGGGGATGAATTTGATCAAAGTAAATTCTATGCGCATATGGAAATATCACAATGAAACCCCTTTGTCCAATTAACATATCCTAGCTACGAAACGTTTCCAAAAAAAAAAAAAGAACCGCCACTCGCCACTTCTTGTTCAGGAATCGCCCAGTTCTTAACGAGGCTGGATCGCCCCTACTCTGTACCCGCACCCTACAAATGCTCTGCCCCCACGACGGCGAGCGGCCACGGGATTGGACGAGCGGGCTGGGTGTGCGCGGGACGTCCAATCGCTCGCGAGCGTGGAGGAGGCAGCTGCAGCTGCAGCTGGAGGCGGCGGCGGCCCGATCGCTGCAGGACCCGGCTGGGCGGTGCGGACGCCTCGTGGCGCGGGCGCCCCGTGGCGTGGGCATGGCGGGCTGGTGGCGGGCGCTTCCACGCGCGGCCCGGCGCTACCCGTGGCCCACCAACGTGCTGCTGTACGCCGGGCTCTTCTCGGCCGGCGATGCGCTGCAGCAGCAGCTGCGGAGCGGCCCGGCCGACTGGCGCCAGACGCGGCGCGTGGCCACCCTGGCCGTGATCTTCCACGGCAACTTCAACTACGTGTGGCTGCGCCTGCTGGAGCGCGCGCTGCCGGGACGCGCACCGCGCACCGTCCTGGCCAAGGTGCTGTGCGACCAGACGGTCGGAGGGCCCATCGTGCTCTCAGCCTTCTATGCTGGTGAGGGGCCTGGGCGGGTTCTGGGGTCCGGAGTCCCAGGATTGGGGGACTGGAGGCCCGCGGCGGGCGGGAGGCTTAAGGGGCTGGAGAGCTCGGGGCGGGGGGCAGAGGCAGGAGCCAGAAGCTCTGGGGGTCTGGGGACTAAGGCTGGGCCCTGGGGCTGGGATGTCTGGGAACTGGAGATGGAGGTTTCTGAAAGGGAGAACTGGCGGGCACTGGCTGGGGAGCATCGAGGTCCAGTGGGCTAGGGGGCCAGGGGGCTGGGGTAGGAACTGGGAGGCTGGAGTTGAGCAGAGTCCAAGGCTGTGGCCTAGGTAGGGCTGGGGCTCCATTTCTCCTCTGAAGAGGGAACACGGGAATATTCAGGAGACCCCAATTTGACTCACAAGTAGCGACAATCCCTGGGAGCTGAGCTGCTCCTGTTAAAATCCACATTGGAGCCCCCAGCTCCAGTACAGCAACAGAATGTGAGGGGACCGGTGACCCCGGGATCACGCCCAGGGTCCTCACCCTGCTTTGGTAACCAGATTTTTCCGTGGTAGGCTCTGAGAATATGAGAGAACTGTCCACCTGTGAAGGAGCCCTCTCCTGTTTGGGGCAGGAAGACCTGATTTTGGGGACCTCTTTCTGCCTGATTACTAAGATCAACCGAAGGCGCTCATGGCTTCCAACCTCTCTTCCATTTCCATAGACTCCAAGGGAGTAGTCACTGGGAGGGATATGCTCACTCCCTCAGAAAATCTTCTCCGGGGTTCTGGGCCTGACCTTGGCATTGGGGATGACATATTGCCCCCAGAGTAGGAGGGGTTCTCTCTCAGGGGCTGTTGGTGCCCTCTAAAACTGGTGGAGGGCGGGCAAGCCTCCATCTTGAAGACTCTTACCCTGTCCCCTGGGTCTTATTTTAGGGAGGCCTTTCACAGTAGACGCCGCAGGAAACACCAAAGACCTGGGCATCTGTTGCCATCTCAGCTAATGGCACTGCAGATGGGTCAGTGGTGACTACACCTGAGAGCAGGGCCTTCTGGTTTATTCATATATCTGCACCTGGGTGCAGGGTGTGACTTCCCGACAAGCTTTGCAAACAGGCTCCTGCTTTGGATACTGGTGAAGGGGTTGGGAGCCAGGGGTTGAGAGACTCTGGGGCCCAGATTCCTGTTTAATCTTCAAACAGGCAGTGAGGCAGGTGCTGTCATTATTCCCACAGAATGAGGAAACTGAGTCTCCAAGGGAGTATGGGATTAACCCAAACAGCATAATCCATGCTCTCAGCATATTCTTAATCTTTTTGTTTTGTTTTTTGAACTCAGGGCACAAAGCATTGGCTGTACTGACTGAGACATATCTCCAGTCCATTTTGCCCTGGTTATTTTGGAGATGGGGGTCTTGAGAACTATTTTCCCAGGCTGGCCTCGAATCCCGATCCTCCCAATCTCAGCCTCCCAAGCAGCTAGGATTACAGGCATGAGCCACGGAAGCTGGCTGTTGTTCTTGATCTTGATGCCCCTGTAGTGAGTGTTGTCAGTCTAAGGCCAGAAAATGCTGAGTCCTAGGACTTGGGGGACACCTGTGACTTAGGCATGAGGCCCCATACAGACTCCTGCCCAAATTACTGTTTTGTTTTGCTTTTCAGATTTTGGGTTCATTTTCCCTGGCTTCATATTACAATGAAGGGGAAGAGTGGGAGGGAGTGGGCTGGATGTTTGCTTAAGCATTCCTTAGAAATTGTTGATCCATTGTGGTAGGCCCCCCTTGACAGTCAGACTAGGAGGGGATTAAGAGGTTGGACACCTGGGTGAGTGCCTCTGCTGTTAACCTCCCTAAGCTCCTTCCCCTTTTAACTCTCCTGACCCCAATGAAATAGTACCTAGAAAGTGCCTAGCATTTAATTTTGGGTAGCAGAGCACAGTATTACCAATGTTTTGCTGGATTTTCTTCGGAGTCTTGTTCTAAGAATTTTCTGCAGTCAACTAATAACACTCATAGTTCCCCTCTCCCAATAAGAGGAGGGGAAGAATTTTTAAAGCACTGTCATTTTATACCATTCCTAAAATTGGAAAGTTTTGTTCTTGATTCCTGACTTTCTTTTTTTCTGTTTCTTTTTTTGCTGGTACTGGAGTTTGAATTCAGGCTCTCTTGCTTGCTAGGCAGGCACTCTTACTGCTTGAGCCAGTCCACCATCACTTTTTTGTGAAGGATTTTTCTGCGTTAGGATCTCACAGACTATTTCAGTGGGGCTGGCTTTGAACTGAGATCCTCCTGATCTCTGCCTCCAGAGTAGCTAGGATTACAAGCATGAGCCACTGGTGTGAGCCGAGTCTTTTCAGAGACACCCAAGACCAACGTTTGTAAAGTGTCTTTAGGAAGTCTAAATTGGTACTCTTGATTTGAATAGTACTGGTGGGAAATTTATAGTTGCCAGAATATCCACTGTTCTCTACCCTTTTCTAAAGGAGTGAGACTAGGGTGGGAGTATAGTTCAGTGGTAGGGCCGAGCTTGGCATGAGGGAGCCCTTGGTTTAATCCCCAGTGCATGCACGCACATACACACACACAGAAAGAAAAAAGACTAAGATTAAATTTAAGCATTTCACAAAAAGTTGGGAAAGTAGTGAAAACTCACCAATAGGCTGACTATCTTAATACTATTGTAGTACATTTTGTGAATTCTTACAGATTATTAAAAAGGAATCATACTCTTCTGACTTTTAAAATGTTTCTTCTGCTATGACTTTTATAACCTGCTACTCTTACTTCACATTTGCCTTCTTTTAAAATGTATCTAGTTTTGGAATGGACGTTATGTTCTCTTTTCACCGTGGGTTCGCAAGGGCATATCGCTGAGTGACAGTGGTTGGATCCTTTGCACTTGGAATGGGAAAATTGGACATAAACTGTTACGCAGTAGTCTTCCCACTGAGAGTCGTTTGAAATTCTTTTGATGTGTGCTTTTGCAAATAGGTATGAGCATTCTCGAGGGAAAGGATGACATATTTTTGGACCTAAAACTGAAATTCTGGAATACATATAAGGTAAGATGGCCTTTTGAAAGTGAAATCAATATTTTTTTGTGTTTTTTCTTTTCTCTTTTTTTTTTTTTGTTACTGGGTTTGAACTCAGGGCCTCATGCTTGCTAGGCAGGCGCTCTATTGCTTAAGCCACACCTCCAGCCCTTTTTTTGTGATGGGATTTTTCTAGTTAGGGTCTCACAAACTGTTTCCCTGGGGCTGTTTTTGAACCATGAGCCTTCTGATGTCTGCCTCCTGAGTAGCTAGGGTTACAGAAGTGAGCCAATGGCACCCAGCCTTTTTTGTGTATTTTTAACATTAAGTACTTTTGAGTATAACTATTCTTAAATTATGGTTTCAGGCCCACGAGTTCAACCTTTTTTTTTGTTTGTTTGTTTGTTTTTGGTGGGACTAAGGTTTGAACTCAGGGCTTCACCCTTGCTAGGCAGGTGCTCTACTACTTGAGTCACGTCTCTAGCCGGAGTCCAACATTTTGACAAAAGGATCTTGATTTGTTTTTGTTTTTTTGCTTTGTTTTATTTTGAGATGGGGTCTCATGTTGGAGGTATAACTCAAGTGTTAGGTGCCTGCTTTGCAAGCGTGAAGCCCTGAGTTCAAACTCCATTCCCACCAAAAAAAAAAAAAAAAGTCTGCTGAGATGGGGGCCTCCCTATGTTGACCGTGCTGCCTTTGAATGCCTGGGCTGAGTGATCCTACAGACTTGGCCTCCCAAGAAGCTGGGACTACAGGCCTGTACCACTGTACTTGATTGAATTTGTTTCCATAGATAAATGGGAGGAGGCTTTAGGGGGTCTTTACTTCTTGTGGATAGGAAAGAAATAATGTCTCTGCATTTAAGCCACTGCTTGCAATGATTTTGACTAGTAAATTTATTCTTGGGGTTGAAGTGTAGTTCAAGTTGGTAGAGCACCTGCCTAGCAAACAGGAGGCCCTGAGTTCAATCCCCAATACTGCCAGAAAAGAAAAAGTTATATTTACTCTTATTAGTGATCATAATTTATTTTGTAAGTTTCAGGACCTATTTGCAAAACAAGAATTGTAGAGTTTGAGTGGCTTAATGAAGTCATTCCCTCTTCAGAGCCAGCATTTCCATGTGTGCATTCTGCTGAGTCCTGCATAAAGAACCTTCTTAATATCACAAAGGTGTTTACAGAGAAGGATAATGTTCCCCAGGGTTTTCCTAGGTTTGAAGAAAGTCACCTGCTCTACTGTTTGTTCAGTACTGATGTATAGAATCCAGTCCAACAAATACTTCATTTATTTAATGAAGATTTATTGTACAGTATCCTTAAGGCCTGGCAAAATCTGGGATATTTTCTATCCAGGGGTAGTTTGATTCTATGAATACCAGTCAGATAGATTTTCAGGATTCCAGAATACATGCAGATGGGCCTAGTGTTTTGCATGGACTTAATTCCCTATCAAAAGCAAAGCCACTGGCCAGGAATGTAGCCCAGTGGGACTGTCACTGTATGGGATTTGAACTCAGGACCTTGTCTCGCCAGGAAGGCCCTCTGTTACTAGAGCCATGCCCTCAGCCCTGCTGTTTGTACTCTGAACAAGGTGTGCTTAGTGTGTGTAAAACTCTGGGTTCAATTCTAGTACCTACAAAGAAAAAAAAAAAAAGCAGTGCTAAGCCACCCTGAGTGATCACTATACTGTTCCTAGTATTTTTAGCTGAACAGTACTGAAGCCCAGAACTAGCATCACCCATTTGATGGTTAGCAGTTCCCTCTGAACCCCTGTACTCAGGGTCAGTGCTTACGATGAAAGTGTTCAGAATTTTTGAACTCAGGGCCTTCACCTTTGACCCACTCCGCCAGCACCGTCCCCCTTCTTTTTTTTTTTTTTTGTGATGGATATTTTCAAGATAGTCTCACAAACTATTTGCCTAGGCTGGCTTCAAACCACGATCCTCCTGAGTAGCTAGGATTACAGGTGTGAGCCAATTGTGCCTGGCTTTTTTTTTTTTTTCATTTTTATCAGTGTACATTATTATTATTATTATTATTATTATTATTATTGTGGTGCCAGGGATTTGAACTCAGTGCTTCATGCTTGCTAGGCAGGTGCTTGACCACTTGAGCCAGTCTGCCAGCCCTATTTTGGGATGGGTTTTTTCTAAGTAGAGTCTCAAACTATTTGTACCAGTTGGCTTCAAACCTTGATCCTCCTGATCTCTGTCTCCAGAGAAGCTAGGATTACAGGTGTGAACTACTGGTCCCCAACTATCTTATATTAATTGTCCAGGGGGATCCATTGTGACATTTCTGGATAGCTTTACATTGAGCATTGCTTAAGTATACCCTTCCCCCCACTCTCCTTCACCCCACTCCCTGCTCCACCTAAGACAATTGCAAAAGGTTTCAATGTTCTACATCATACCTGTGTACAAAGCACATTGGTCATATTCACCCTCCCTCCTCTTCTTCACTCCCCCTCCCCCTCCCACAAGTACCCCCAGTACCTACTTTACCATCCTGCCTTTCATTTTAATTCCAAAGTCCGTGTTCAGAGGGGTTTCTTGATGTATCCCAGCTGTGAATATACCTTACTTTGGTCAATTCAAGTCCCTCTATTATTCTCTCTTTCCCTTCCCTCCCCCCATTATTCAACAGCTCTCAGTACCTACCGTTATGTCCTCTATGTGCACAGATGTTATGTTTTACGATATGGTTCATGCTCTCTCGTTCTATTTTCCTTTCCTTCCTCTCCCGAGTTCCACTTGGAACTCCACTATTCTTATGTGTTCAGAACTCTTGTCACTTCTCCTGGGGTAGAAACTGTGCACTCAGAGTGACACCCAAATGTGATTTTCTACTGCTTTATTTTGAAAGAAGGAACAAAGTTCCTGTTACATTGCAGAGCCTCTGGAGATACATACATCTATCATTTTAAAAAAGAGCAAGAAGTAGAATTGGGCAAGAAGGGCTTTTTCATCAGGAGTGTGCAGGTGTTGGGAGTTTCATTTGGTGCAGGAACTTGGGGACCTTTGCGTACCTTTTTATTTTTCTGCTATGCTGGGGATTGAACCTAGGGCCTCATGTATGCTAGGCAGGTGCTGTCTCACTGACCTACACTCCTAACCCTAACTTTTAAAAATCAGTGGTCACAATGAATTAGTCTCATATATACTTATGAGATGAAAGAAGGACCTTGGGGGAGAAATGACCCAAGCCTTGTATGCACATATGAATAATAAAATTAAAAAAAAAAAAAAAAAAGAAGGACCTAGCAGTCTGAACCCCAGCTCTATTTGGGGACTTTTTCTGAAGATTCCCCATAATAAACTGTCGGCCATACAGTTTATGGAAGATACAAAACCAAAGCCATATAAAACACAGATTCTATACTTAAGGAGATTCCGTTCTAGTAGGCTAGATAGATGAATGGACAACTCATTAGCTAGAATGCTATGAAAATTGCTCTAGGGCCCCAGTGCACATGCTCACTTAGCTTGGAGGTGTGGGGGTGAGGTTCAAGGGAGACTTCTTGGGGATGATACCTGAGCTGGATCTTTTCTGTTTGTTTTTTGGTGACACTGAGGTTTGAACTTGGGGACTTATGCTTGCTAGGCTGGCACTGTACCACTTGAATAACACCTCCAGACCTCTGAACTGAGCTTTAAAGAATAGTTGGAGAGGAACACATCTATAATCCCAGCCACTTGGGAGGAAAGATAGGAGGACCGTGATCCAAGGTCATATGGGCAAAAGTGCAAGCCCCTCAAAAACAAACTATAAAAGTAAAAGGACTGGGGGTGTGGCCCAAGTGGTAGAGTTCTTGTCTAGCAGATATGAGACCCTGATTCAATCCCCAGTACCAACAGAAAAAAAAAAAAAAGGCTGGAGTTAGTCAAATATTTTCAGGCAGAAAATCCCAGGGGCAGAAGGAGCTGGATAGAGTCAATAATGCACACATAAAACGCTGCCTGTGGGCACTGAGCAGCTGGGAAGAACTGGGAATGTGCTTGGATCTTAGGTGGTGTTGGACTCTATGCCAAGGATTTTGAACTTCACCTTTAGGTAAGAGTGGCGAGGGAAAGTAGTCAGCAGTTACTGTAACCAAGTTCACCTAAGAAAAAAGGAGGCAATGGGCACAGGAATGACTTGAGAAGTATTTAGGCGGTAGAATTGGTACCATGATGATCGATTGGAAAATGGGGGTGTAGGACCAGGACACAGGATAGCCTACAGATTTCTTGCTTGAGCAACTGTAGAGTGGTATGAGATAGAACATAGAGGAAAGGGAGCCACTTAGGCAAAACCAGAACCAAAAACAAGATGAGTTCAGTTTGGGAAATGTTGCATTTCAGATACCTTAGATTATTCTCAGGGAGATTTCAAGGTCACAGGGGACAGTTCAGAGCCAGAGGTATTAGAATGGGAGAAATGGGTTCAAACTGGGCTCTCCATTCAAGCTTGATCAGTGAAACTAAGAACACAAATGTTTGGAGTCAGAAGAAAACAAGCCTTCAAAAGAATCTGCCACTATCTTGTCACTCAAGTAGTATCTGAGAGTACTGATTGGTTGTTGTACAGGAACCAAACCTTTGCCCTGTCTTTCTTTGTGGTGGGAAGGATGGGCCTGGTTTATTTGTTGTTTCCATGTGAGTGGCACTTAAGGGTTTTTTTTGTGTTTGGTTTTTGTTATTTTCTGCACAGATGGCATGCAATTTCTGTCTCACCAGCTGCAATATGGAGGCTCAAATGTATTATCTCTAGAAATGTATCTGATATTGTTCTCTTTTATAGTTTAAAAATATTTGGATGACCCAAACATTGTATGCACATATGAATAAAATAAAAAATTAAAAGAAATAAAGGACCTTGGAAGTAACCATGAAAAAAATTTGGAAATATTTTTAAATTTAGCAAAAGTAATAAGAATAGTCTAAAGAACATTCATATACCCTTTATGCAAATTCACCCACTGTTAACATTTTGCCCCATTTGCTTTATTATTTGCTTGCTGCATACCTCTGTCCATTTGTTCATCCATGC